GGGTTGTGGTGGTAGTGGTTTGGGTTTGATTTATTTGCTAACCTCTTTATGTGCAATGGTACATTTCTGGATGGCTATTGAAGTTAAACTACCCGGGGACATAGAGTTTAGCTTTTGGTCTTTCAATCACATCTTGCAACTTTTGTGATTTTGTTCCAGTAGATAACTTTGAACCCAAGAATATCTGCATTAGCTTCTATTTGTTTGTTTGTAGGTTAATGTTTACAGTTGACAGACACTACAAAAGCTTAATCACCAGTTCTATAAAGATTATCATGGAAAATCCATATCCTGACCAAGTTTTCTTGTAGGCAAAGTCACCTTTCACACTTCAGAGCCACTTTCCTAAAGTTTTTCTACAATATTCTACTGCAATTTTTGGTTCAGTAGTAACCTTACAAACCCTTGCTAGTTAGGTTTTGTTGTATTTAGCTCCAGAATTTTTAATTTGAAGCTTTCCCGGTTTTAAACTTTAATATAGATGATAAAGGAGACATTTGTGATCCATTAGGACCTGTTCCTTTTATGATGAATATTTGTATATAGATTGATATTGAATATTCTCCTCGTACACTGGGAAGAAACAAGGACCTTGATGTCTAGTAATTAACCTTTGGACCCTGTTTTTTAATGTACCCAGAATCTCGCTGGCCAAGGGAAGTTTCAGTGGATATGACGTAGATGCTGTCGAACCTGTATATGTTGGGGAGTTCCCTCAAGTTTTAGGTATCGCACAGATGACAGTTCAGAATTATTGTCATGGTTTGTCAGGTAAAGTTTTATTCTGGAAACATATTATTGTTAGATTAATTTTCAATTGTTTTTTCATTTATTAATTTTTATATATATAATATTTCTAATACTAGTTCGTGTGGCAGCTGATGCATCTATCTCTGGTGGAATGGACAAGGAGACATCCCTAGCATGGATCATATGTGGAAACGGTCTCTTTATCTGGGGCTTCTTATCATCTGCTGCATCAAGAAAATGTATCAACATTGACCTAATGTCTGTTAAAGAAGAAATTGGTGATGTGACCAGCAACTCATATTTACCTAACAATTGGTTAGTCCGTTTTGTCAACTGGGACAGCTTGAAGAAAGCTGGTAGCATCACTGTCCAACAGCTCAATTCTGCTGGGATTATATTGTGTAACAAAAAAACTGGTGATCTACTTTTCTGGCCAGATATCTCAAATGCTGATGGGATGCTTCCATTCACGTCTCGTGCCTTTTCTGATAAGCATGGCAATAATGCTGCAAAATCATTTTATATTAACTCTTTGATAACTTCACCTGTCTCGTCTACCAACAAAAGTTGTATTGCACTTGCATGTAGTTCTAATGGTGAACTTTGGAGATTCTTCTGTAGCCCTTCTGGTATTCAGCTTGAACAGATTGAGCATGGCATGTCAAATAAATTATCTGAAGGAAATGATAACGGTTCATCTGTGGCAAGTAAAGGCTTTCCTGGGTCACTGATTTGGCAGTTTTCTAGTCATTCATCGGAGGACACTACAAAACAGTTTCTTCTGCTAACTAATCACGAGATACAGTGCTATGCAGTAAAGCTTTCCTCTGATTTAGATGTGGTAAAGCTTTGGACTCATGAAATCTCCGGCTTTGATGGTGATTTGGATATACAGAAAAACCTTGCTGGCGAAAAGAGGATTTGGCCCCTTGATTTGGCTGTTGATAGCGTTGGCAAGGTAATAACTGTTCTAATTGCCATCATTTGCAAGGATCGGGTGACCAGTTCAAGCTACAGTGAGTATTCCCTTCTAACCATGCGATACAGATCTGGAGTAGATACAGCGAAGCCAATAGGGAAACAGATTATTATACCTAAAGCTAGAGTAGAGGATGAGGAATTTTTGTTCTCAATGAGGTTAAAGGTAGGTGGAAAGCCGGCTGGTTCTGCTATTATACTCTCAGGTGATGGTACTGCAACAGTTTCCTACTGTTGGAGAAAATTCACCAAGCTCTACCAGTTTGATTTGCCCAATGATGCTGGAACAGTTCTTGATGCTTCAGTAATCCCTTCCCTTGAGGAAAGTGAAGTTGGAACTTGGGTTGTGCTCACTGAGAAAGCTGGAGTTTGGGCTATACCTGAGAGGGCAGTTTTACCTGAAAGTGATAGGCAACGAGCGGGTTTAACCAGAGGTGCACGTCGTGACCCTCAAGACGAGGAATCGGAATATTTACTAAGCCAGTTTTTCGATGAGTTTCTCTTGTCTGGACAGGTTGATGGTGTCCTTGATGAATTGAAAAATTCAAGGGCTTTTGAAAGAGAGGGAGAGAGAAATGTATTTGCCAGGATGAGCAAATCAATTGTTGACACCTTAGCTAAACACTGGATGACAACCGGGGGATCTGAGATTGCTCTATCTGTTGTGTCCACTCAACTAGTTGATAAGCAACAAAAGCATCAGAGGTTTCTTCAGTTCCTTGCTTTGTCCAAATGCCATGAGGAATTGTGTGACCGACAGAGTATGATCATTTTAATTATTTAGATAATGTTATGTTGCCTTTTTCTTTTTCCCCAATTTCATAGTGCTTTTCTTTTATATTTCTGAAATTCTCTCTCTCCCTCTCTCTGTGATTTCTGATGATGTTTTGATGTTTATTCTGTGACCAGGACAATCTATGCAAATTATCATGGAACATGGGGAAAAGCTTGCCAGCATTATTCAACTGACAGAACTTCTAAATGCAATTAGCCATGCTACCGAGTCTGGGGTTGGCTCCTATTATGACTCAGATGCTCGGACTTCTGGAGCTTTATGGGATCTTATCCAGTTAGTTGGTGAGAGGGCCCGCCGGAACACAGTTCTTTTGATGGATAGGGATAATGCTGAAGTTTTCTATAGTAAGGTCTCAGAGCTCGAGGAACTATTTCATTGCTTAGCGGGAAACATAGAACATATCATCACCCAAAATATGCCTATTATTCTGCAATCTCAAAGAGCTTGTGAACTTGCAAATGCATGTGTTACAATCTTCCGTACAGCCATTGACTATGGGGCTGATCACCACTTGTTGTACCCTCCACCCGAGGGCTTGACACCGTGGTATTCAAATTTTGTTGTGTGGAGTGGGCTGTGGAATATTGCATCATTCATGCTTCAATTGCTTAGTGGAACAGAACGGCTTAAAGTTTCTGTCGTACTTGATTTTTACTCGAATCTTGTAGTACTCTCAGAAATACTACTCGAATCATATTCTAATGCTATCACAGCAAAAGTCGTTCGGAAAGAAGATCATCGAAGTCTGTTGGAGGAGTACTCAAAATGTAGAGATACCCTTCTCGGCTCCCTTTATAAGCAAGTGAAGGATTTCATACAGGCGAAATTACAGGTAACTACTGTGAATTGATTTCTTATATTGTGGCATCGTATGAGGTTTCATAACTGACAAAATGGTCGAATACGCATTTCACAAATATAATTTTATCCCTTCAATTTAATTTATCCTCCTACACCTTCTCTAACAATAAACATTTTCATTGGAGTTATGTAGCATCCCAGCTCATATATTTTGCTTTTATTTGCGAATCATTTGTTGATTTTATTTGGATGCATCTATAATCGTTACCTGTTTTGCCGTGGCAGGATTCACCTGAGGAAAATGAGGAATTGAATAAGGATACTCTGATGACATTTTCTTCAAAGTTATTGTCAATTGCAAGACGTCATGAGGGTTATCAGACTATGTGGAACATATGCTGTGACCGCAATGATTTCAATCTCCTCCAGAGTCTCATGGTATGAACTTAGAAATAAGTTATAGTACCACAAGCCCATTGCTTGCAGTAGACAAATTTTGTCTCTTGACCCCACTATATATATATAATGCTTTCGATGCGTCATTTGTTATTAAAAAGCTGCTCAATTTTTTTTTCATATGAGCTTTTAATAAGAATAGTAATTTCAACTTCTATTTTGCAGCATGAAAACATCGGACCAAAAGGAGGGTTCAGTTTCTTTGTATTCAAACAACTCTATGATAGCAAACAATTCTCAAAACTAATGCGGCTGGGTGAAGAGTTTCGTGACGAGCTTGCTACATTTCTGAGGCAGCATCCCAATCTTCGTTGGCTTCACGAATTGTTTCTTCGTCAATTTTCCTCAGCTTCTGAAACTTTACATGCATTATCTAATTTCTCTCTTCCTAAGGATAACAGATCAGTTTCAGATACTGATGAGACTGAACCTACTGGCCCACTACCTAAATTAACTTTGGCTAGGAGAAAGCATTTTTTGAATCTCGCAAAACTGTCAGCAATGGCAGGTACTCTGATGATTGTGATTGCTCTTGGCTGTGTGATCTATATTAAGAATTGTGCCCTCCAAAAAGAAGTATTGAATAGGGTTCTTAGGGTTTCTTTTAATCATATAATCAAAGGCCCTAGAGGAAATTAAGAAGTCCAAATTTTGTGGTAGATGCAATGTCACTCTTTGTTTCTGGTAGAAGGATGCAATAGTTAACTTTTTGGTGTCCTTTATCATTTTTTTTCCAATCTGTGAATGGTGATACCAATCTGTGAATCTGTCAGGAAGAGAAGCTGGCTACGAGTTAAAGGTGAAGCGTATTAAAGCTGATTTGAATTTTCTACAAGTACAGGTATTTAGTCCAATTCGCATGTTTGTTTTGTTAACTGACATTGAGAAGAAAACAAAAAATAAAAGAAATAAAAAAAAAATAAAAAAAAAAAAATTGACGAGATCAATATGTTGGGATGTAGGTTATCTATATTGTTTCTCATATTTTGATAACATGCCTAATCACTTGAGCCAAATAATAATATTTTCTCTGAACTAACGTTGTCTCTTACTCTTAAAGGAAGAAATAATGAGGCTTCTACACGATGATGATGAGGACAAGCAATTTATGGTGCAGCAGCTTCTTGATCCACTGGAGCTCATCCGAATGTGTCTTAGAATCAAGAAGCGGGAGCTTTCGTTGCGACCCTTCGATATATTCTCGTGGATGAGTGTGTCCTTTCTCAGAAGCAACACTTTTATTTTACAGGAGTGCTGGAGAAATGTTGCAAGTCAAGATGATTGGGAGAGACTGTATGGCTTGTCCATGACTGAGGGCTGGAGTGACGATAGAACCTCTGAGGTTCTCGAGCAAACTGCACTTTTCCATGCTGCCAGAAAATGTTATGGGCCCCGCTCAAAAAAATTTAATGTGAAATTCGATGAGATGCTCCCGTTGAGGAAGGGAAGTAATGTAATAGGCTTGTCTGTGGAAGAAGTCATGATAGAGCACAAGGATTATCCAGATGCGGGCAAGCTGATGCTGACCGCTATCCTGCTCGGGAGTGTTTGACAAAGGGCTTGATATCATGGAGTGAAGATAGTTTGTGTCACAGGTTGTCGTCTTGGTTCTTGTGCCAGAAGTTGGATTTGGGCTTTTTTGATACTCAACTTTTGCAGATTGAGATGGCTATTGATAGTGGTTGGGTGTAAGGTTTGTGTGTACAACACCGAAGGAGAAAAAAATGAAAAATATTTTACCCTTTTCAGTCTGAAATTTCTGGTTCTATAAAAAAGTTTGATATGATTAAACATAGGGCGAATTTATTTTACACTCCAATATATACATATATTTTCTTTATACAATGTCCCATCAAAAAACTTTTTTTCACCACACTACTTACGAACTTATATACGATATAAATCGTCTATCCAAATACACCACGAGATTTCGTCGTCCTTGTGAAATATCAAATTTTTTAAAATGAGTCCATAATTCCGGAAACACATTTCACGTTTCTCCAGCCACTTCAAGCTCATCCTTGCCGTCGTGAACCGCCCGATACGGGATGACTCGTGATGCTAGTCGACGATGAATCTATGGTTGCGCGCGCCGAGTGATTTTTTCTAAAATCGACTTGAAAAAACTTGGAACAGTCGGCTATGGTGGACGGTTAATGTGGGGCTGCCGAGCGGGAAGAAAAAAGAGACTATTCTGGCGGCGTTTGCAAATCCTGACGGCATTTGACGAAGATGACCGACGTGATTAGCAGAGGAGACGGGCTGTGGCGAGCTTCAGCAATTAACGGCGAGCGACGGCAGACGGCCGTGGGCGGCGCTTGGTGGTGGTGCCGAGTGGTTGGCCTGGAGTGTGGTGGAGTTTGTGTCGTGCGTGTGTGCTTGTGTACAATGTGTGTGTGCATGTGTGATTCTCGTGTATATGTGAACGTGTAATGTGTGTGTTGTGTGCCAGCGTGTGTGTGTGGGGTATGTGTGTGCGTGTGTGTGAGAGAGAAGGGGATTGAGAGAGATATATGATGTGTCATGTGGACCTACGTGGGTGGTTTGAGTGTGTAAAATTACAACAATACCCTTAATGAATATATAATTTTGGTTTTTTTAAGTTGTTGGATCATTCAATTTTATGGCTGAGATTTAGGGTTGGGTTCCAGTAAGAATAGTGCTCAGTGAAAGAAATAAGAATACATCGTAACTATTAGATCGCATGATCCAACAGCTTATAAAAAAGTCAAAATATACCTTCATTAAGGGCATTATAGTAATTTTAGACAATACATACCAACAAGTGGACCCTACTTCCCATTAATTCATCTGCCACTAACCCCATCCACCAACCATAATTATGCTCGTGGGTCCCACCCAAATACCTCCCCCACACAATCTCTCTCTATTCCCCCTCACGACATCTCTCTCTTCATCAAAAACCATGCCCGTCCGAATGCTTCTCCGACAACCGTCTTCTTCCCATGTCCAACCACCATCGTCCGTCGCCTCGACTTTAGCCGTCGCCGCTAAGCTCATCGACCCTAAACTCGCTCGACCAGAGGCGGCGTCGCGAATTGGAGTTGCACCAGGAACTCGACGACCGTCAATCATGGCCGTCGTCCAAATCCCTACACCGCTACCTTCATCTCATCCTCAGCCGCCCCGTATAAATCAGCACCTTCTCACCTCCGCTGCCGCCGCTGCCTTCCAAATCCGACTCGATGATGTCCGACGAGTCGGCCACATCCGCCATTCCCACTGCCATCTCCGCCCTCCCGCCACCGGCTCTACCCGTCCCGACACCGCTGCCGTCCGCCTAGGCTGGAGATGGAAACAAGCATCACGGGACATACATGAATTAGGGAATGGGAATCTTTTCATCATTTAGGGGAAGGACTATTTTTTTGTAAATTAGATAAATTCAAGTGACATATTTGCAAATTAATAATTTTTTTTAACGGAACGATAGAGATATTATATAAAACGTACAAATGTGCAAATAGCAGCCACCAGCTGATTACAAGCAGCCAATAGCTGAAAAATGGGAGGACAGATCAAAAGACCGCCTAGAACCAACCCCCACCGGGTAATACTCAAGAACACTAGAAACACAAAAAACAACAACAAAAAGACCCCCCAGTAATACCCGAGTGTCGGACCCCCACAGAGTAATAAAGTGACACTCGGGCGCACAGAGGCCAACGGCCCAAACCTAAAACATAACGACAAGCACAAACACATGTACTAACACACAAAACAAGAACAACAAACCAAACTACTACCAAACAAAAGAAGGAAAAAACACATCTAAATAAAAGGCCCTTCCACAGCAGATCAGCCAGCTCGAACCAGCGAAGAACGGTGGATATCAAAGAATAATCTAAGTCCAGGAGACGGCTCTCGAAACTGCCACAAGGCCTATACAAGAAGTCGAGCCCGAACACAAACTAAACTCCAAAACGACCCGCCTCAACCGGAAGGATAACCGAACTTGCACCCACTCTAGCACTTCCCGAGCACGCCTAACACCACTAGCCGAGCGTCGGAGCACCAGATTCCCGCCGTCTAACACCACTAAACGAAACAGGGGGCGGCCCAGGCCCTCAGATCCGACACCCCGTCAGAGCCCCGCCCCACCGCTCGACCCGCAACCAGTCGAAGCACCACAGACCACATGCACCAATATAGGAAAACTCCGAACGGAGACCCGTCGGAAAACGGGAGCGCCCGATATGCCCTTCATTCGCGCAAAAGGTACAAAAATAGGAACATAAGAAGGAAATGGAGGAGTACTCACCTCCAATCACGACCAACGAGCAACTGACGCAATCAATTGCAAACCAATCAACGATCGAAGAGCTCGCCGCCTCCAATCGCAACTTCGCCGGCGAAAAAGAGCAAGGCTTACCCATTGGCGCAAGCACTCCGTAGCCACTCCAAAGGTCCGGGATAGCAGAGGAGGAGCGGTAGTGGAGCGCGACCACCGGCCGACGCTGCACCGCCGCCGTGAAAGGCGAGCGAAACAGTTGAGAGGGGCGCTAGGGTTACGGGATTTTAACTATGTTGCAATTTAGTTCATGAATTAAATTTATAAATTAATAAAAGTTGATAGTTACACTTTAATGTTCAGTGCATTGCACCTTATTGTGTTTGGGATTGCACATTAAAAATATCATTATACCGACTAAATGCTAAATAAAAATACAAATTATTAAAAAAAAATTAAAATTGAAATGCACGTCAAAAATACCCGCTCAATCTATTGCACAATAATACTAGACTAAATGCACATCGTTAATTTTGGTATTTCATATATTGTGTATTTTACTTTTAGAATCGTCATTATTTTTTAAAACAAGCAAATTATTAGATATGAACAAACTATATAAAAATATTACATTTGTTTTATTTTTTAAATATATATATTGTTTTTATACAATTAATATAAATAATCGAATAAAAAATTAAAATACTAAATATATTTTTTATAATATAAATTACAAATTATACGACTATTTAGGTTAATTCGATTAACCGATCAAATAAACCGATTATTTTTGTTCTCAACTTGAGTTGAGACAAATCAATAAAAATAATAACTTTGTTTTGAGTGCAAATTAGTGTTATACGGATTGCACATTAGAGAATGTCATGTTGCACTTTGTAAAACAACCTGATTCACTTTATAAAACAACACGTTGTACTTTATAAAACACAACACTTTATAAAACAACAACATGCTGCACTTTATAAAATAACACGTTGCATTTTACAAAACCACACGATGCACTTTATCATAATTATCAAATTGCACAAGAGATATCATAATCGATGAACTCAAATTTTTTCAACCAAAAATAATAAAAAATAATAAATAAAATTTTGTTTCTTTTCTCTCTCGTCTCTCCATGTACAGATAATCACATGGTTTTTCTTTGGTCATTAAATAAAACAAAAAGTTCAAAAGCTGGTTGCTATTAAATTTAAATGAATTTGCACGTTAAATGTGCATTATTCGGGGCAGCTTCACAAATTGGAGTATTAATTACAAACATTGGAATTCACTTATAATTTGACATTAAAAACATACAATTCAAGTTCTAAAAATGGGAAATTAATGAAGCCAAATTCAAGTCAGCTTCCTAATAATGCACATTTTAAAGTTACACCATTTCTGGTCAATAANAAATAGAGAAAAGTAAATTATAGTAATGGAATAGACAAAATGTTCATTAATTACAATACACTGTTACACATATACCCATGACATGAATTGTAATAAATTAAAAATTTAAACAATTGCAATCAAGTCTTTGTATCAAATCAAATTCTCAAATCTAAACTCCTAAAGGTATTCAATAATTTTCGGCCACCCCGAACGCACAGGTCGGCGTCGCCGTCGACTGAGAGCCGCCTCGACATCCACACGATGACCTTTGTGAGCCCTGATTTCACGCACGGGATACGAAGGTTGAAATGCAGAATGGCGACCCCGACTTCAGAGGCATTTTCGGCAAAAAACCAGTAGGAGCGACGAAGGATAGACAACGTGACGGAGGAGACGAACATCACCAGGGGCGGATCTAAAAAATTTGTTGAGTGTGGGCCAAAACTATTAAGGAGTTAATAAGATTTCAAAGGAAAATGTTATTTTGACTATTTGTCCTTTTCATTTGTGTATCATGTTCATTCCAAAACAATATTTATTGATTGCAGAAAAAATAATTATCCTCCAAAATATTTTGTTAATAAAATCATCAAAACTTAAAATTTATTGATGTATTAACGTGTATTTCAAGATAATCGTGATAATGATTTTTCATAAGCAATTTAGATGCAATGAATTAATATATTAGAAAAGAAAGATAATAATTATGTTCCTAGATATGAACAATAATAAGTGGGAATACAAACTAGTATATAAAAATTTGAATAAATACTTTTATCTTTTAATTTTTAAGTATAAAATTTCAGTTAACACCCGTGTAATAAACACCCGTGTAATATATGTGTTATAACACTGCTACAAGATAATTTTGTTCAGTTAAAAAAAGCTAAGACAATAAAAATTACATGAAAAATAAATAATAGAACATGGAAAAGAAAGAAATAAAAAAGGATGGACATGCACTACTAAAATTAAATAAGTATTACGAAGCAATGATTCTTGTTATAAATACAATTACACTCATAAACTGGAAGGCAAAAGCATTATTTCCTCCTACAAACAACATTTTATCCGAAAATTTTGAGTGTGGGCCTAGGCCCACCCTCGTCCCCGTTTGCATCCGTCCCTGAACATCACGATTGTCTCCGGCCGCCGC